ATACCATTGCTCCCCTCCCCCATTCAAGGATAAACCTTGGGATTATCCACTGCCCTAAAGTAAAGAGTCCGTCATCTGCCACCAGGAACACTTCCTTTGTGTCCTTGTCGGGTCTCTCCTATTGCACTGTGTCCATCTGTCCTTCGGGAACGGGTCAGGGTTCAGGTGCTAGGCTTGATGTGTTTTCTTCCCACCTCTTCCCTCTCCCCACCTCCCAGATCAGCACAATCCAGAGTTTCAAGGGTTAACTGGACTAAGGGGTGTTATCTCCAACTCAGGGCATTCCCTCTGCAAAGTGATCCCTGCTCAGATCTTAAGTTACCTCCTGCCCCCGCCAGCACATCTGCTGCTGGCTGGGCAGACCTGGTCTCTATGGAGAGGGGCGGGCATCGTGGGGGAGAAACACCTGCCAGCCGGTCTTGGGCACGGGGTCCTGGGTTCCCAGGACAGGCAAAGTTCTTCCCTGCCTCTCGCCCCTCATTCCCTCTAAGGGGGCTCTCCCATTCTGCTGCGCGGAGCCCAGGGTGGTTCCAGGCACATGTATGTTGCCGACCTGAGTACGCCTGTGGTTGGTTCCACGGGGCTATTTTCGTGGAGGACCCAAACCCACATTCCTGCCCCTTTTAAAATGCCCAGAGTAGGCCACCTTTCTCCTCAGATGATCCCCTTTCCCCCAAGTGTTCACGCAGAAAGTAAAGATGCCAAATCAGTAGCTGCAAACCTATCTCCTGGGGCCCCTCCCAGCCTTCTAGGGATCTCGAGAAGCCGTGGGGCAAGCCTGGCCCCAGTCAACACCAGGATCCAGATACCATGTGCCAGGGAGACAAGACAGGAAAGCCTCCTTCCTCACCAGGTGAGCATGCAGAGGCCCAGTGTAACGCCAAGGGCAAGAACAGAAAAAGAAACCAGTGTAAAGGCTTCCCGCTCTCAAAGGACCCAGCAGCCCACCTGGGAAGTCCTAGGTCTCTTCCCAAAATCACCTCTCTGACCCTGTGACATCAACACAGGTCTTATCAAGGCTCAGAGCCACTCACAAAATCCTAGCGGGAAAGACAGAAGAGATCAGTTATATGTGAATATACACCTGATACACCGTTATAGCCCTGGTCCCGTGCCGACCCACAGCCACCAGTGCCCAAGACCTCCTCGCCCTCACGCCCATGGGTCTGCCCGTGCACAGGGGACTGCAGATCACCGACGCAAGCACACAAAGCCGGGCACGTGTGTGTGCCAATCCACACGGATGGTGAGATGATATGCAGGCTGTCAGAAATGTCACCGCCGGAGCGCCGCAGCTGGCTGGTGTCCAGTCTAGTCCGGCACGCGGGCTAACGGTCAGAGTCAAAACAACAACAACGACGACGACGACGACGGTAAAACAGGCGAATACACAGGTACCCCCTCGGTCTGTCTCTCCCCCAGGTGGGAGCCATTCAAGTTACCAGGTTAACCAGGAAAAGACACAATCAGGAAAATCGAAGGTATATTCACACCTCCCTCGGGTGTTTTCTGTTTGTGCCGAACAATGAACGTTAGTCAGCTGCTAAACAATGGCAGTATCGTAAGATGCAGCAACGGGGGCAGACCCTCTGCCCGTGCCCCCACCCCGCGCCACCCCCTGCCCCCCCAAGCCTGGCCCACTTGCTCGCTTGCTGAGCCATCGGCACCAGGGTTCTGCTGGCTGGTATGACCGTCCTGGCAGCATTCAACGGGGTCCTGGGTCAGGAAGTGGCTAACGAGTAGGTGGGTTCATTGTGCAAAGCTGAGTGGCTGAGACCGGAACTGGTATCATCATCTTGGCCGGCATCGGGCAACAAGGGACCACCTGTCCCCCTGAGCCACAGATATTCAGGCTCAGAGATGCCTTACGGGCTGCTCAGCCAGGGCTGCGGGGCCCAGGCTCTGCAAGATCTTCTCCTCCCCTCCAGCTTGGACTGTCAGGCCTTGAATCTGATTCTGAGACACTCTCTACAGCGCAGCCTCCAAAGCGGGCACTGAGATTGCTGTTCACACACGCTGTAATCCCCAGGCCGGCAGAATTGGTTTTGCCATAATGTCCTGCCCAGCAAGCCTGAGCACATCACTGTCTGTGAGAAATGGGGAGAGAGGAAAATAGCCCAGCAGCTCCGACACTCGGAGTTTTGAAGGAAACCACCTTCTGCAGGCTCTGTACAGACTGCAGAGAAGGGATGTGCCGCGGGCCCGACAGGTCTTCCGAGGGTGTGCACGACACCTGGGGTGTGTGTTCTCTTTCCAGACAAAAGGTTTGGGGAAGCCAATTAGGGAGGGTGTGGTGTAGGTGGGACACCGGCTCGGTGCACCTGCTTCTAAGGCAGGTTCTCTGCCTCCTCCCCAGGGCTCCCCCTGTCCCTCTTCGGGGGTGTAGTCCCTATGCTCCCCTGGCCATCTCCTCTGAGTTGACCTGGAGGAACCACAGACTGTTATCTCTGAAGCTTGAGGGCTTTACCACCCAGCCTGGTAAAGGCTGTGTTGTTGAAAACATACTTCTGTGTTTACACGTCAATAGCCAGATTGAGTGTTTTTATTTTTTTTTTTTAGTCAGGGGGCCATCGCACACACTGGGGGCTGCCCCCACCTGCTTCGCCCCAGAGAGAGGACCTCTCTTTGCCCTCCATGCTCCCTGACACAGCCCAGGAGAACCCAGAAAAGAGCATCCGGCTGGCAAGTCTCCAGAGAGGAGCAACAGAAAGCACTCAGGAGGGAGCTGGCGAGTGGTGGAAAGTGGGGTGTGGGCAGGCAACTTCTGAGCCCCCCAGCCTCCATCCAGCGTCAGAGGGGCACAACCACACCCGCCCACCTCCCTTTGCAGGGGCACAGGGCACACAGGCGGGTGTGCGAGGGAGCTTGGCCAGCGGGGGGGATGAATTCTGGCTGCCCCTGATGCTACCCCGGCCATAACAATGACAGTCGACCGAGGAGGGCTTAAGTGCCTGAGTTGTAGTTCTCTGTCTGCCTCCCACCCCTCAATCTGCAGTTTTGGGGAGAGGGGAGTGTCTACACTGAGCCAGGTGAGACTGCCATCTCCCTGACCCCACTTCCTGAGTGGGGTGGAGCAGGGCAGGCTTCCAACCCCCCAGAGGAGTTAACCACTATGTACCTCAAAGCTGGGGGAAGAGAACAACGAAAGGAGTGGAAAAGGGGGTGAGTCCATTCTTTGCCCCCAAGCCTTTCCACTCTTTGTCCGATGGGAATGAGGTTAACCCCTGGTGTGCCAGTCCAGCTAGAGCTCCCCAAAAGCTCTCCTTTCCCTAGCATCTGGGTGTGGACACTATGCAATTGAAGGGTTCCCAGAAGCTCACCGCACCCCCCTTCCCGTGGTCAGAGAAGTCCTAGGGCCTAAGCTCTGGCTGGCTTCCCAGGAGGTCCGGTGTGAGAGAAAGACCTCTCACTCACCACGACCACCCTGCGGGGGAAGGGGGGGTCGACTCAGGCCCCTAGAAATGGATAATGCTGCTTGTGTGCCCTAGAACTCCCGCCCCCCCACCTAGCAGGGCAGCACCCCACAGGCTGCAGGGGTGGGGGCACCGTGGTGCCGGCCTCCACAAAGTGCTTTTGCTACCATAGGCCATTCAGCCAGATCGGTGGAGCCCTGGCAGTGAGCTGGCAGCAGAAGGGGCATAGAATTGAATGAGGCCAGGTTCCTGCCTTCCAGGGGTACACCCCAGCCCCGGACCTCGGCAGCCAGGCTCGCCCCGGGGTAACAAACTAGCCCGCGAGTCTGCGGCACCGCTGGCGTCTCCAACGGGCGCTTCCGGCGGCGATCCAGATGTGATATCCTTGCCCCATGCGAGCTGGTCTCTCCCTACTCCGACCCCTTAGGATACTAAGGCCAGACCACGTGCTCCAGCCAACCCCCTCCCTCCCCCACAAAATCCCCCATCTAGCCCGGGCGGGAGGTCGTCTCAGGTTTCCTCCCGGAGGGCTGGAGGCACCCCCACCCCCACCCTGACCCCCGCTGGTGTCACCAGCTACCGTGGGAGCCTAGCAGCTTCCCCAGGGACACAAAGGGTTAAACCCAGGCGAGGGGACTCGGTCGGATTTGCCTCCTAAACGCATTTTCCAGTTCATTCCCCAGCACAATACGCCGGGGCCGGTCCCAGCCTCCGCCCCCACCCCACCCGTCAGATGGGCCACCGCGGGCCACCCCAGGGTCGGGCATCGGGTTAACCCCTCGGCCGCCGGCCGCCTCGAGGAAGGACACGCGGGGCAGCCTCGGGAAAGTGGGTCATGCAGCCACCTGGCTGGCACCGAGCCCGCGGCGCTTCCTCCGGGGAGAGCCCCCAAACCCGGCGCGGAGTTCCGAGGCGAAGTCCGGCTCGCGCAAGGCGGGGAGGTTGCGAGCCCGCGCGGCCCGGGCCTCACCCACCGGGATAGGAACCGCAGGTGAGCGAGAAGCTGTCTCTGACGCAGGAGCCGGCTCTCCGCGCCCGCGTGTGGCTGCGTGGGGCGGGAGGGGGCCCGAGCGCGCGGAGCCGTCTGGCGAAGGGGCCGGCGACAGAGACGAAGCCCCCCTGCCATCCTCCAAACCCGCAGCCCACCAGCTCCGAGACTGACGCCCTCCCCCTGGGGCTGTTGTCTCATACCCCGAGACGGCGATTACGGCGATTATTTTGCATTTATGTAACATGCAGTGTTTCCAAACTGCTTCCCGAGCTGAGAGCTGGTTATTAAATAAATAGGACGCGATTACATATTATTATTTTTGTGAAAAACAGAGCGGAGAAAGTGCTTTCTTGCTACACAGAGACGTGCATCCGACTGCCTCCCTGCAGGGCAGGCTGTGAGGCTTCTCATCCTCTCTTTCTCCGCCGTGCCACCCGCACCCCCCTTACCTAAGCCGTGACCCAACTTTTCTGCCTCCTTCTGCTGCCTGTAACCCAGACGTGCCCGCCATCCAGCTCCCAGCCTCGGGAAGGCATTGGATGGTGGCGGGGAAGGGGGTGGGGGGAGAGTGGAAGGCAGAGGAGGAACGCGCTTACCTGGGAGGAAGAATGCGGTCAAGCCGAGAGCGAGTCCCCACCAGCGTCCAGCGGCGCCCGTAAGCCCCATCCGAGCCATCGGGGTCCGGGGGTCCGGCGAGAGGGGCCGCGAGGAGAGCGCTCCCCGCGCTCCAGAAACCAGTCCGGAAGACGAAGGCCGATCGCTGCCGGCCGCCGGGCGCTCCGAGGATCCAGGTCAGCCGCAGCCGTCGGCCGGGGCGGGGTGGGCTGGGTGGGATCCG